CTACTGTGTATTCCAAAAACATTGTGCGTCTTTCGGAATTAAATTCTAAAAATATCACGTAAATTTCGTTACAATTTCTCAGAAACGATCATTGCGGGAACATTGTGGGCCGGGACTAAGATTTTTGATGCGATAAAACGATAGTTCGAGGAACGATAGAAGCGGGAAAATGTAACATTATTTTATATGGGATGTATTCGGGACCGAACAAAACGGACGATGCATCCGGGAAAACGATAGTTCCGGGAACGATGGATAGAGGGTTCACTGTAATATGTTATATTTAATATAATTTCATAATCTTTTCTCATATTTCTTAGTTTAAAGCAGTGATTCAGTATGTTTATTTGTTTGTGTCAATTTGATATTTTATGTAGAAAATATTTCACATAGAAATTGTTATCAATGCTTGATGTAAACGTGTGTTTACCCAGGAGACACTATACCCCAGCTATATGCTAGACTTGATGGTGCTGTGCTGGTCTCAGTCACCACGAGATCGTCCGTCAGCCAGTCAGATAGTCTCCATAGCTTCAGCACCAGAGTTCACACACCTCAGTGACACAGTATCACTGAACCATCCAGAACCTGTTGTTGCTTCTGCTGTAGTTTCCTTGCCAGAGATAGGTGGTAAGTATTATTCTACATGGTTTAAAAAAGTACTATCGCCCGCTGATATGAGTGAGTTGATCTAGCAAGCTGGTGAGTAGAAGTTTACAGTAGCCAGTCTGGTGGTGCTATGTTGATATGAAATTTTATCAAAATCTATCCATTTGTTCTGAAGATATTAGGGGAACAGGCACATACCTAATGATACCATAAGCCTACCTTTTCTTATGCAAGGAACAAGGAAAGAAGGATAAAGAGGGATATCTGTTCAGTCTGCACTAAAGTCAAACTTCTTTTGCGTATTACCAGCTAATAGGCTGACTTGTTCATCAGTTTTTTTTATACATCTAGAGTTTATGTAATGTTTTCAGATGACAGCTTGAGTGGAGCAGAATTATGGTTGGCTTGTTCCTCTTCAAGGACTGATCTGCTATTAGCTACTCACCGTGGCTGGCTCCAGTACTGTTCTTTGTCAGTACCAGACAGTCCGACTGCGGCTTGCCTCGTAGGGCACGATGTTTGGCTTGGCGATCGTATGGGACAGATCCATGCCTACATGTGAGTACTGTCTTTTCATTACTCATGTGTGCATTGAATTTAAAATATTTTTGTTGTTGTGTGTTTGCTTATTTCCTTCCCTCTCCATTATTACATTGTGTGTTTCATTAAGCATTTAATAATCTGGTTGTTTTACACAGAAGGAACCATGATGTTTATTTCTTTAATACAACAATAACAATAGATTCTGTAGTGGTTGGGTGTATAAGTATATACTGAAGTGGGTTGGTACGTATGTAGTAGTTTTGGTAATCTGTTGTATGGTTATAAGCTCAATGTAATATTTGATCTTCAGTTGTAACCACCGGCAGTCATGGTATTGATAGGAGATGGGAGTTAGTACGTTGCCTCAGCTTAACAAAAAAGCTTTTATCACTGCTAATGTAACTGCTTTGAATGTGTTACCTAAATAAGCTAGGCCACTGATACAAATATGGCTTTAGTTATGAAACATTTTCAGATTGTATTAATTAGTATACATGGCCTTTGCTCAACCATGAAGGTGCTCAATAATGCTGTATGCCAGCCATGTTTGTTTGTTTGCTTCATTGATTTATGGAGGTATTATGTTCCTCTGAAACATTGGTTTGTACCTGCAAGTGCAGACAATGTTACAACCCAGAAGACACCTCAGTGACACTATATAAGTTGCAGCTCCTAACATACAGGATAAAATGGTTTTATCCCAGTTACAAGTTCATTTGTGGTTCTCAGAAAGTTAATTTTAAAAACATTTATTCCTTTCCTATGCCTGGAGTATGTAATTTGTTACAGGGGCAGAGACTGCAGGCCACTCTTCAGCTATGCGTTGGATCCCGAGGCCCCAGAACCGTGTGCTGTGAGCAGTCTCGTGAACCTTCCCAAGCTCCAGAGAGTAGCTGTGGGGCTTACCAATGGTCGGCTGTTTCTTGTGCGAAGTGACATCTCACCAACATCCTCCACAATGGGCGAAGGTAGTTTTGTGATGACAGAATTAGGTAGCAGCACGGTTCTGCATTCCCTCACAGCTGTATTCAAGGACCAAGGCAGGTCAGTGGTAAATTTGTTGATTTTTGGAAGCACCAGGGAAATAGACCTGGTTATTAAACTATTTTAGTGTGGCATTTTGAGTGAGATATTACTGGAAGTGAATATTAATGGAATAATTTTTTATATAAACTGATAATAGAATGTAAATTAAAGTAAAAAGTAAAGTAAAGTTTGTCCCACTATATGCCTCGGCAGAGCTGGTCTGGACGCAGAGGCTAGAGGAAAAATCCTCTCCCCCCGCCGGGGATTGAACCCCAGTCGTCCAGCTCGTAGCTAGTCACTATACTGACTGAGCTATCCCGGCTCAAAAAAAAGTAAAAAGTAAAGTTACTTTTTACTTTTTTTTACTTTACTTACTTTACTTTACTTTTACTTTGTAAATTAAAGTACTTTTAGTTAAATTGTTGCCAAAAGGATTTTAATTTAAATTGTTTGGCATTAGAGAAGACAATATATTGATGGTGTTCTTGCAGGTTGTAACACCATGTGGACTCATAGGTACAATGATACCATGATACATTGTTCTCTGAAATTAGTCCACACAGGGTTATAACCCAGAAGAACATTCACATCTTCATGCCCTGAGGACCACAAATCTCGCACGAGAGACGTTTCCCTGTAGATCAGGCATGAACTTGTTAGCCTTTCACATTTTTCTCAATGTAGTGCAAATTTTCTTCTTCCAAATACACTCAAAAAGTTGACTGCATATTATATTCCTTCACATTAATTTCTCAAGCGTGATTAGTTTAGTATATTACTATAAATAAATGTTCATTAGGTTTTCAACAAAATTTGTAAAATTGCTTTGCAGAAAATTTCATTGGAAGTTTCCCAAAAATATTCAGTACACTGTCATTTCTTACTCCTGGTATGTTTAGAAAGTTTTCAAGGTGTTTTGTACAGATGGTGTTTAAAACCTCTTTTAATGGGGTGTGCATTATATTCAGCAGCAAGAAATGCACATTAAATTCAGAATGTGAAGTACCCTTACTTAAAAATACATTTGTTGTGTAACGCATGGACCTCCAGTTGAAAGTTGTACTTGATTTTCACAGAATATGTGAACTGTGGTGTGGAGAATCAAATGGAAGCATTTCCATCTTCACAATTCGTGAGAACATTGTGACATCTCATGAGATTGTAAACCATTATGAGCCCATGATTGAGAACATCAATGTTCTGAATCTTGTGTCAACCCACTGTCCAATGTATCATAAGGGAGATGATGTAACAGTGTGCTCCTATGTCTATCCAGGTAAGGCAAAGTGTACCATTTCTCCATTAACACTATTCATGGGTTAGAGCAGGGTAGTTTAAATTTGTTGCTTTCTTGGGCCAAGAATATCTTTCTTGTTAGACCCAAGGGTCAAGAATGGTGGTGGAAAGTTTCTTGGTAATCAGTTATTTTAAATGTTATTGTGTGATAGATATACCTTCGCATTTTGATCTTTTTATTCTCTGTACAAGGAAGTGGGTGCTTGCAGAATGCATGAATGAAGGATTTGTTTAGCTGCCTACCTCTCTTTATTATATATGCGGTTTTTTTTAAGGCTGTGTGGTTTATCAGTGGGACCCAACAACACACAACATTCTCAACAAACTGGACTGCTCAAAACTGGTGCCTTGTTCTGAAAGCCTCAAATCTATCAGCATTGAAGAGCATCTCAGTCCAGGAAAATGCCAGGTATATAATGTGTTCGCATTTATGCTTATATGCACATGCATCCATGTAAAATATGTTGAATGGATATCCTGAATGAAATGTTTTCATCATTACTTCCTGATAAGTAACTACACTAAAATATCCCACAACTGATCTTTCCCATTACTCATATAACCATATTCATACCCGTAATCAGCACCATATTATCTGTGAAACAAGACTTCTTATCACTTGGACTTAGGTGACAAGCATGGCAATCCTCAATACTGAGCTGTATATTGGCACGACATGGGGATGCATCGTAGTGGCCGAACGATTGACTATGCGTCCCATCACCGTGTTCCGTCCATTTGAGGAGGAGGTACGAGCAATTGTTCCATTGCTTCCTCCTGCTGCTGAAGACAGTTATGCTACCAGTGATGATATAACTGTCATGCCTGCAGATTCCCAGAAGCAGAGCTGTCCTCTAATAGCGACAGTAGGTCGAGGATACCGCAGTTTGATTGCACGATACACAGATATGGTGATGACTCCAACAGGTATTCAAAGTCCCATACACATGTACTGTGGCAGTAATGTTGACAGAATTGGAGGAGGTGCAAGTGAGGTAAGAAGCCACAATATGTATGCTCTGTTGTGGAGAGCCGAGAGGTGGGCTGCTACATAACTGAGGTTGTTGACTATCTTAAACGATCTCACAGTGAAGTGGTTCCATTGCGGAATATTTTTGTTGTAAATTTCCCTTCTGTGATATAAAGAGAGTGGGTTAGGTTAGCAAAATTGAAAGACGTTGTTCAACTGCAGCCACTTGCTTTAAATATGGCAGCTACATGAGTTAACAGTTAACTTACCCCATAACAACTGAACATTTCCTTATCTTCTGAGACAGATTATGAAATTATTATTTATACACTGTGAATTTTAACTATGCTGTGATCATTTGGGTATGTATGATCGATTGTGATTGATGATGATTTTCAAAATTACATTTTCTTAAGTCCATTGTTAAGCTAAGGAAGTATATTGTCAGTATCATCCACTGACATTTCCACTAGTATGGGTTACCACATGACAAAGCCATATTTCTTGATGCATATCTTCTGCCAGTTTGGTCCCTTCAGTGATCATTTGTGTTTAGTGTCTCAGTTTTAACACACTGTAGCAAATATTACTGTCGTCTATGTGTAATAAATGTCCATGCCACTGTATCTTTCATTTTGACAAATTTCCTTATACTTTTTTATTTTCTGATATTGCTGAATTTCCTACTTTCCAATTGTATCTCTGCTTGTTTGTTTACTTGATACATTTTTTAGCCTCTTTTAATTAGGTTGAGGCCCAAGCAATATTAGCAGAGTGCTGGAAAGTATGATGTTGCTGAGAAAAATGTTGAAGGTCAGTGAGTTTGTGTTATTTTTTTATTGTAATAAGGTACAGATATAATTCTCTTAATCCATCATCTTCGGTGACTGCTCCTTGTGTTACATTTATTAGCTAGTTTATGAGTAATAATTTTTAACTTCTGTTTTCATAAGCTGATTGTATTGTCATTGTGTCATACATTCAGTCAATTTGTAACCATAAAAGGTGATGTTTCAGTTTCTCTTGTCACAGAATTTTGTTTGAACTAGAGGTGATCTTAAAATACAGTAAATATGAATTATGGATATTGATGCTAAATTATGATCCTATCAGTGGCCAGAATTTGGAAAATGTTAACTGGAATAAGTAGAATTTGCATTGATTGTAAAATCAGTTCATATAAATGTACAGTTTGTGTCAATGTCAGTAGTATCTTTAATTAATATCATTAATTTATATTTATTTCAGATCAATGAAAGAAAATTCTTTATTTCAGAAGCAGAAGCTTCAGTAGTAGGCCTTTTAAATGCCTTCAGTTTTCATTATAACATGATTTCTTCAGTAGCTAAATAATTGCCAGCTACTCAGGAAAGACCCTGTACCATGGACTTTGTACTAGAATAACTATTCATTATGTTAAAACATAGAAGTTTTGCTGCCAAAGAGAATTGTTGTGCAGAATAATTGCTTCTGCTGTAAAATAAATATTGAAATATAAGTAAATGACAGAAGTCTGAAATATTAGATATATTAATTGTAACATAACTAAAACTGGATATATATCTGCTTGACAGTTGTTTGAAATAACTTATGAATGAGTGTGATTATGAAACAGTTTTTCAGGTTGTGGATTGTAAGATTATTATATGATAATATTAAGACACGTATTTGGTTGAGGTACTGATTCTGAAACATTGAATTCAGAGGTGTAACTACAGATTATAAATTTTCACAAATTGACTAATGTGAATGTTGTGAAGTCAGTTGCACTTGGTTATCTGCAGCTGACAGGAAAGCTGTAGTTTGTATTTCAGTTGCCATCAGCAGTGCACATTCACTTTAACCTTTCCTTTGAAGGATCTCCCTGTATATGGGGCACACCTGTCTAATATATAGGATAGAAAACATTCTAATCTGTCCAAGTAATAATGTTACTAAGCTATGAGGGATTAAACATATTAAAAATGCCAAGTTGAGGTAAATGATATTAATGATTGGCATTAAGCATCATTGAATGACACATAAAAGTAATCTAAGAAAGTGAAATAATCGTTTCCTCCGATATGTCTGAAAATTGAGGTTTTCCTTTTATTTACTTCAACCATGTCCTGTTCATGATTTTGAAGCTGAAGCCATGAAGTACACTAATATGTTGAAAAGGTGGAGGATTTAAGATCCAGTTTGAGATGATAATGACTAGCTGACATATTGGTTAATTACAAATGTGGGATTTCATATTAAAATTTAATTTACTTAATATTCATTTCTGTATTAAATGTTTACAGGAGAAAAATAGTTTTTATACCATATTTGTAACTTAACATGAATTTTGGGTGTCACAATTGAAGTTTGAGGAATGAAGTTAATTCTGCAGCCTATTTTGTATGTGTGCATGTGGATGTAATTGAAGTCAGATTCTTCTGATGCCTGAACTATGTAGTTTGGAATAAGTAATGATTTTTGTGGACTGAATTGGTCAAGTGTGTATGGTGCACTTGCTTCTGCTAATTTAGTTCCCCTAATAAATGATACTGGGACAACCCATTCTTCAAGTGCCCGAGCACTGTGGGTCCCAACTATTGTAAGCTTTGATCTATAGACAGTCGGAAGGACTCCTGTACGCAGGACAGCACAACATAGAAAAACGCAGACAAACATCCACGGCTTGAGTGGGATTTGAACTCACGGTCCCAGCAACCAAGCGGCACAAGGCCCACGCCTCAGACCGCGCTGCCATTGTGGAACCCCACCCCCCACCCCCCTAATAAATGATAACCAAATCATCTCTTCATCTGAGATTTGCTCTTTTGCCTACAGCATTAGAAACACAATACTTTCAAATTAAGTTTTTTCCTCAAAACATTTAGAATGGCCAATGAAAACCACTGAACATGTGGGATTTGAACCCCCGGTCCCAGCAACCAAGCGGCACAAGGCCCACGCCTCAGACCGCGCTGCCATTGTGGAACCCCACCCCCCACCCCCCTAATAAATGATAACCAAATCATCTCTTCATCTGAGATTTGCTCTTTTGCCTACAGCATTAGAAACACAATACTTTCAAATTAAGTTTTTTCCTCAAAACATTTAGAATGGCCAATGAAAACCACTGAACATTTTTAAAGGTCCATGTTTTGTTTGTAAAATTCTTATATTTCTAGTCCCATTTTTTAGAGACACATGAAAACTTATTATTGATATTGTTCTATCACCTATGAATGTTATATTTAACACTTACCTACTAATATAATCTATGTTTTATGTCGAGAAAATCTTATCTGCTGATGTGTGTTGGCCATCACATTGAAACCACAGCCAAATTTCTGCCTGTCCGTGTCAAAACTTCTATAGGAGTCTCTTCAGGAATACTTAATGTGTATGTATGAATATGTGATTTCTATTTCCCATAACACAAGGGCAATATGAAAGAGATAAGAGTCATCAAAGATATGAAAATTACATTAAGTGCTTGACTAAAAGTAGAAACCTGCTGAGATTAAATACAGATATTTCTGGAATTCCACATACTTAATTCAGTTATACTGCAGAATCAGCTACATTTAAATCCTATAAAAGCTGTAGCAATTATAATACAGCAGTATGTTGGTGAGTTTTGCAATGTGTATCATACAAGTAGTGGGACAAGATAATAGATATATTTATCTTGACTATAAGAATTTTAGAAGTTTAAAATGAAGTTAGTGATAATGTAGACATCTATTGTCATTCCCAGATGCAGGCTGTTTGTTACCTGGTCAATTAGTCATGTTATGTAGTTAGTATATTTTAGTCTTCTGGGCTCTTGATGTGGGGCATATGATCTCATAATTTTACTTATCCTTGCTTGCCAGGTGAATTGTTGTGTGGTCAGTTCTCCATCTCTTATTTGTGTCTTAAATAAGTCCTTTCCATTAGGCATACAGAAAAGGTTCAGTAATGAGAACTGTGACCTGTTTTGCACTGAAGAAGTATATAATGTTCCACTAATAGTTTTTACAAATACAGGAAGAAAGTAGTGTTTACTATATGTTGCTTTCCACAAAAGACAAGGAGAAAAGTTTTCATAATTGAAGTCAAGGTGTGTGAACTGTGTGTTGCCCATGGTGTGTATGCAATCCTTGCATCAGATGTGACTGGGCCATGAATTATATGTATCCAATACCATTGAATATCATGGTTAAGTGGTAAACACTTCTGCTTCATATCCATTAGGTCCCTGGTTTAAACCTCAGCCTAGAGACTGGCTATACTTACTGAGGGTTTTCATTTTTCCTCAGTCCCATCAGGAAAATTCAAATTCTTTAGGCCATTTGTTAACTGCTTTAGCACCATCCTCTATTTTTCAATTTACCTTCTGTTCAATTCTTAATCATGGACAAAAACTTGTAAACTTGTAGTGAGTAAGAACTGACCACACCTCCTACAGACCAAGAAGTATAATCATCATTTCTTCTGTATGTGGTGATCTGCTATCCAGTTCTTTAAGCCATTCTCTGATTCTTTACATCACAGTAAATGGTGTCAAAATTATATATATATTATTTGTTGTGTATTTATTAATAATAATAATATGGTACAACATTATTAAAAGTGGTATAATTTGTCTTCTTCATATCATCTCATTTAATAAAATATGTAACATGAACACAAAATATTACATTACAACATCATAACTGCCCTTTTAGCCACCTGATCTTTTTTCCTCTTCTGTCGATCCTTTTTCCTCTTTTCCAGCGTTGCATCTGTGAATAGTTGTACTCCTTCCCTAGCCTCTAACTCCCTCTGGAGGAACTGGAGTCCATGCAGGTTGCAGCCAATCATATCCTAGAGCAAGTAATGGGTACTATACAGATGGCTCAGCATAAGAGTGGTGAGACATTTTAAGATTGTTTCTATAAAAATAAGAAATACACTTTGTATGGGGTGAGTTATGATGATGTGAACCATACTCAACTGGCACAAGATCATGGCCTATGGTAGGGTGTGGTCTTCATAATGCTGAATATATGTAGTAGACCTGATAGTTGCCAGGTGTGATTGGCTAATCCAGTAACATTTTAAACTTAGATCTATCATTATACATACTATGCCATTTCTTAATCATAACATAGGTATGTCATAAATATCCAAATCACCTGATATGTAAAAATGTGTCCAAAGTTAGCTACCATGCCTAGCTAGACATGTAATTTTGTATCAAGATAGGCTACAAACATGGCAACATCTCACAAGTTTGTGGCATGCATTGGCAACAATTTTGCATGTTATACAATTATTAAAGTAGTTTTGCTTATCTTTCTGTTCAGATGGAATCATCTGAAGGAATGTACACATGTCTGTTGTTACCATAACTTAAAACAAGAAATGTAATGAAAGGTACAGCACTAACCCTGAGATGGTTGACCTTAGAAAATGCCAACTTCTGAAGCTGCCCAACTATGGGCAGCAATGCCTGGTTGTTCACAATAGGTTTATGGTGCATCTTGAACAAGAAAATCATGGTACGACACACTAGTTCTATTTCAAAACCCCTTTCAATCAGTGAAGGCAACTGACTCAGAAGTTCACACACTGATGTAAATGGCAGCAACAGAAGTGCTTCCTCAAGGTCACTGAAACAAATTTTTTTCAATGTTACACTCTCCTCCTGCCTCCATGTTAGTCTACTTTCACACCTGATACAAAAAGAAAAGTGATGGTCACTTTAAAGGTTGTGCTGTTACAGCTCTGCCAACATAAATATACTGAGTAGGATTTGGGGTTCTTACAGTGGCAGGTATGAAGATGACTGTTTTCTGGATTGTAGCACTGCGTAGTCTGGTAGAAGTTTACTGATGTTTGAGAGGTACTTGCTGTCTCCATCATCAAGGCAATGCGTCACTCATTGCACTGATGGAGGTAGCAAGTGTATCAGAAATGTCAGTAAACTTCTACTAGACTACAGAACACTACAACCAAGAAGATAGCTATCATCTATGATGTACCTAAGTGGATCCCAGGATTTTCAGCAATATGAAGATCTTTGTTATAGATAGGCTTCTGGTATAGAAGCTTTAAATAGATTTTTCTACCTTGACCGAATTCTTCGTAGTATCTCAGTCAGGAAGTCATCTGGCGTAGATGCTTTATATGCGGCCATGAGAGCAGGCGGCTGAGGTGGAGGTGGCAAATTTTCTTTCTTGGATATCGCCTTTATCAGTGCACTGTGTTCCTCCATCTTTGTTCGAAATTCTTGGCAAATCTCAAGACACTCTAATAACTGTTCTGCCTGAAATCAGTTACATGAAGGAAAAACATGGAAAGGCATGTCTGTATAGTGTAATAATCATTTATTATATATTAAAGACAGTCAAACTAATATATTAAAGAAACAATTGTATTACTGAGAAATTTGGATTAATTAAGAAAGATTATAAAACGGTAACAAAAATACACAATGAGATACTCCACTGTTGGTACTTTTTACCTAATATCCTAGGAAGACGATGAAAGCTCACACATGTATTACACAAGAAGAACAATATACTGGTTGCTAGAACTTAATATAAAGATAGAGTAAATGGGAGGATAATGTTAAAATAAATTTTACAGGCATGGTTTTGAGAGTGAGAATTGAACTGAAGTTGCTTAAGATATGGCCCCATGGTGAGTTTTTGTGTTGATAATGATGAACCCTCGGGTTCTTTAAGAGAATGTTCCTTGAACACCTGATTACATATGAACTGTTCAAAGAAGATAATTTTTTGTAAGAATGTGCACACTTCTTATTCTTCTTAAAAACCTTCAAAGAATCACCATATGCAAAGATATATTCACAACTGCCCCCTATCATATGTAGACATACAGCTGCTTAAACTTACAGCTTTCTCGCTACCAATGGTTTTCTTGGATGGCAAATTCAGTCCAGTCTGGCCAGGGACAGTAGTTTCTTCTCCTGTCACCAAAGCCTGATTGTCCATTTCCTCTCGTTCCTCTTCTGCCTCATCCTCCAGAACCAGTGGCTCTGCTGACCGTTCAAATAGCCTCAATACCCTGTCTGAGCCACAGCTCACCACATACTGGCCACTGGCACTTACTGCCAAGGAACGAGCTTCTCCAAGATGAGCCTGTAATTGACCACCATTATAAGACATGACACTGACCACACGCCCACCCCATCTAGTGCCTAGGTCAAGAACGAACAGAGCAATACCTCATCTCCCCTCAAGCACCGCCATGGCATGTACCAAGACAGCTTTACTTTACTGAGTAGAACTATAAAAATCAAGAAGGAATTTGAATAAAATATTGTATGAATGCAAGTCAACTACATTAGCTTGATACTAAACCAGTTGTTAGTTCCAGCTGCATGGATTCATGCATAAGTAATATCACCTGCAGTGTGATGATCTTGTCAAATGAGTCAGCATCCCACTGTTTGACTCTACCATCTTTGCCACAAGTGAAGAATTGGTGTGTGTGGGGTACAAACTGAAGGCCAGTCACTGAATCATCATGAGCAAACAGACTGCGATGACAGTCACCAAAATCTAGACCCCAGATCTTGACGTTTCGATCAGCAGAACCCGTAGCAATGAGGGTGGAGTCAGAGCTGATGTCCATACAAAGTACAGGTAGCTTGTGGCCATAAAGTGAGATGAAAAACTGTGTAAAAGAGGACACTGTTCAGAAACGTCATAATACTAAGAGCATAATGTACTCCATGTCTCTTGCAGACTTGTTTTTATGATAGTGATGAAATACAGAATCTGCAACTTAAATTCTTATCCTATTGATCAATGTTGTTACACAAGTATAAAAACCTTTGCTGAAAGTATTATCATGAAAATAAGTTAGTCTTTTGAAAATGATACAGGTTTGATTTTAAATATTTTCTGTTATGTGCTTTAATGTGATTTTATCATGTAGTACAGACTTCCACGTTGACTGGAAGTGCTGTTGTATGTATCTTTGTTACTGCCAAATAAG